TTAAGAAAATTAACTTTTTCATCGATAGAGAGAGTTAAACAGAATAAGAAATCCCAGTTTATTTCTGCGAGGACAGAGTTAAAGATTTCATAATTACAGTGACGGTAATTTCTAGAAAATCTCGAGGGAGGTGAATAACGATCTAATTTTAATGAAGCATGAATGATATTGTGATCACTATTACAAAAAGGTTCCAAGACTCTAATACTATCAGCAAGAGAAGTAGGGGTAGCTAACACAACATCTAATATATTGTTGTACCTAGTGGCGACCTTAACATGTTGCTCTAGACCAACATAGGTACAAAAATTCAGAAAGTCCTCTTCAAATTTATTGTTACTTTTTAAACAACTATTTTCCCAATCTATGTTTGGCATATTAAGATCACCAACAATTACATAATCAATACCAATTAATTTTAATTTGAGTAACAAGTTGTAAAGGTCCCTAGTGAATTTGCTTCCATAGCCCGGTGGGCGATATAGATTTAAAAGGGAAATATTTGTTATTAAGATAAATTTTAATTATCAAAGATTCAAAAGAGGAGCAAACATAATCATCGAAGGTTATAAATTTATAATAATCAGGAATAAGCATGATAAGTCCACCTTCACGAATATTTGAACTATTTATTGATTGATCAATATTAATTGATCCAACATTAATTGATCCTTGTTGATTGTTTTAGCAAGTTCAGTGGTTCGTTAGTTCGAATCTCATTTTTGATTTTTATGTTTTCAAATAACTTTGGAACTTTGAAGTTTGTCGTTAGGTGACATTTATTTTACAAATGCTGATAATTAAGCCATTTCTTTATGCACTATAAACAATGGCATTTATCACTATGGCAGTTTTAAAATAATTTATATAAAATGCGCTTGGTCTGGGTGATTTTATTAAATTTTGCCAAGCATTTTATAGAAATAAGCAAAATGAATAAACTTAATTAAATTGTGATTCGGACAAAGTGTATCTCTTTAGTGCTTTCATTAAATCTTTTTCCTTGCTTTTACATAAGCAAATTAAAAAGAACCTACAATAGAATTTTGCATGCATGGGGTTTATTTATGGCTAAATTCGCTCATTTCTAAGTGGAAATCTTGATGAAAAGGAATTTTCTTTATGAAATTTACCGCTTCACCGATGAAAATAGCTCAAGGAAATAATTTTCTTTCTAAATCAATTAAGGTTTAAAAGGTTTTCACTGAAATCAATGCCAAAATCAAAACCAAAATGTCTGTCTTCTTTTTTAAATAAACGTATTCTATTTAATGGGTGAGAAATACGTTGTTATTTCGTACAAAACTGCTTTTACTTTCGCCTTATGAAAATTTTTTTGATTTTATGCTTTTTTATCATTTGAATTTATCATTTGATTTTTATCATATCAATTAATTTTTAATTAATTGGTCTTTAATAATCTTTTTAAATCAATTAATTAAATTATTTGATTTAAATTAATTCAATTAATTAATCGTATTTAGTAATTTTCCAGATTCATTATGAAAAGCCATTTTTTATTATTTCTTTTTTTCAATTTTTAATCATTAAATAAATCTTAACTATTGAATTTTCTAAATTATCTAATTCGTTTAAATCATTTAACATATGAATGCAATTGCTTTTTTTCAAGCAGTAAAAGCGACGAATTTTATTGGAATGATTTATTTCTTCTAACAATTTCTAATTTGACTGGCTTCATTAGTTATTAGGATGAGATTCGTTCGCCAAAGAATCTATCTGAATTGGAGATATAGGCAGGTCGCTAGCCCGCATTTCAGTTTCCATGGAAGGTTTGCTGTCATGAAGAGATGAATCGAGCATGTAATGGCTTAACTTTAGTCATATGAAACAATATCCACCAGACCTTCCTATCCTCTAGTTATTTTAAAGATGTACTTTCTGGGACATTCTGCTCTTATGCATTCAAAAAAAATTTTTATCTTTAGTTAGTTATAAATAATAGAAAGAACAAATTTAAAAGAATTTCACGAACTTTCGAATGATTTGCAAGATAATTTCATAATAAGAAAAGTAATAAGTAATTGAAATAATAATTAAATTTTTTGCTAAAAAATTAGATTAATGAAAAAATCAAAATGACAAAACACAGTGGAGCTGTTTGCTTCAAGTTTAAGTTGAAGTTTGAAATTATACTCTTTTTTATTTTATTTTGAAATTATCTATTTTGAAGTTCTAAGCGATAATTTAAAGCAAAATAAATCTACTCCCATCAATAAAAAACAGCTCCACTTGTCATTCAATTCATTTATCGATAATTTCGAAATAGATAAATGGTTATTATATTTTGATAGTGCAAATTTTTTTGATCTTAAACCAAATCCTTGTAGTCCATCTATAGTCAAATCAGCTAATAACGTTTGATTATTTTTATTTGAAATATGATTTTAATTATTTTACTTGATTCTTCGGTAATTACGCAAATAAAAAGCGATAGAAAATAATAATTTTCAATTTTTCATTTACAGTACACATCATTTCTCAATTGGTTACCACCACTGGCTAGTAGCGAAACCCATAGTGTGTAAACTAGAGGATCGAGGTAGAAATGTTTACTAGCTCCAGCGAGTCTCATTAGTCTAAGCCAATTTCTTATTTCCACAATATCCACAAAAGAATATCCAGCATATTTTAACACTACACTATTTTAAGAATTATCCAAGAACTAAGTCCACAAGGAATTGATCACCGATGTGCTGCGAAATTTTCCCTTACTTTCGATAAAATAATCACTATGGAATTTGCGGTAAGCAAACACTCACATTTATTTTTTATTTTTTCAACTCGTTCCAAAGGTTCGAATTTCAAAAAAAATTTGAATTTATTAAAAATAATTTTTGATGAATAAAGCAAAAAATTGCCTTTTTTTAAAGCCAATTATCTGAGAACAATTGCAGTGGAAAGATTTGCATTAATCTAAATTTGGATGATTTACTATTATTATTTCTGAATTCTATGAATCAGCAAATTTCGCTTCAAAAAACAAATAATAAAATAAGTTCTTATTCGCTTATTCGGATTTTTTTTTTTTACCGAAAATTGATTACAGTACTTTATATACCATTCACATATATATCAATTTTTCTTTCATCTCGCTGGTAGTACGGATTTTCATCAGCCTCTGACCCTCTACCAGAGGTCTGAGAAAACTTAGGATTCAATGCAGCATTTTAGTCGTCCTTAAAAGTGCGCTCTTCTAGATAGAGATCTTCGATGTTGTTCCCGCATTTTTGGAATTTTTTAGAGTTAATTTTTCCAGCATATAAGCCCACATCTTTTCTAATTTCTTTTTTTCTCAGCTATCACTACGGTTTTTTTAAATTTTTTTCTATCACCACAATTGGCTGGTATCAACTTGTCTAGATGTCCCAGAAACTTGGTGTTGTTTTCTATGATTTTTTGTAGAATTTCTCACCTGGTTTTGCGAGGATCTAGTCTAATTTGTAATTTTTATGCTAAGGAAAGAAAATATGAATTTAGATTAACAAAAATAGTTAGCTAAGCCATAAATGCATAATTTTACAAATTCACAATTTCTAGATATTCAAATTTCATAATCCGAAAGTTCGACAAGCCAGTTGGTGATCTGCATTAACAATTTAACTATTTAATTTTGGAGCTTAAACTCCAAATATTTCAGTTTTGAAGATTAAATGTTTTTCAAACCTCATTTTAAAAGTTTTTAGCAAATAATTAAAATAATTTTATCCAGTTTAATAATCATTAACCATTATCACACGAATCATCCAACAAAGAATTTGATGAAAAATTCAAAAAAGTTTCCATTTTCAGTAACATATGAACTATAAATAATATTTACTGATAAGAAATGCTTTTTTACTAGATTTTGATAATAGAAAAAAAGGATGGAAGAAATCGAAAATGCATTTATACCAGTCGTTTATTGTCACTTTTTTTTTTAAAGCATGCATTTGCTCAAAAAAAAGGGCTAAGATTTTCCAATAATCGAAACCTTTTCGAATAACCTTAATCAAAAAATTTCATTAAAAATTTTATTAAATTTTTTTTTTGAACGATGATTCTATGGAAAAGGAAATGTAGGACAGTGAATAAAATTTGAAGATGAAGTTTGAAGATAATCTTACCTACATAGTGCATATGTGTTAGATACATTTGAAGAAAAAGTAGTAAGCAGAATTAAATTTATAACTTGTTGAAAATATTTGGAAATGTGCAACTAAAATTGAAAATTCAACTGTCAAATCCAGCTGAAATTCATTGATAATGTGCTGGTAGGATGGTCGAGTAAATAAAGGTGCAGGTTCCTTGATAAGAAAGCAGGAATTCAGTTCCTACCCTTCTCCTCTCAAGGAGTAAATCTATTATTAAAAAATCTGGATTATTCTGCTGACCGATGCATTTGCACTTCTATCAGGTGATTTCTGCAGCAAAGAATCTCGCACTGTGTTAATAGACAATGGAGGCTAAACCATTTATTTACCTTTAATATTAATGATGAATTAAAACAGAATAATTTATAAAATAATTTAAACAGAAAATGGAATTTGAAAAAATGAAAAAAGACAAATCTTTGCAAACAAAAGTAAATTTTTTAGTGTTTTGGTGTATTTCGATACCTGTCAAATTTCGTTCTATTCGTGTTTCTGTCGCCAATAAATAACAAAATAGCAAAAAAATAAAAAAAAGCAAACTGAAAAATTATCAAAATAATCGAATAAAATTCGATTTCAGTTGGGTGTTTTAAATGAAAAATTGCATTAAGCAAATTTGATTAAAATTTTTTCGATGAAACAAAATTCTAAAAATAAATATTTTTAATGAAATATTCATTTGAAAGGTTTGAATTCATGCATATATTTCATTAATGATAACAAAAAAGTTATCGCAAAAAATGGATGAATATGCATATATTTGAAAAATATAATTAAATATGCGAATATCTGATAAATTTAAGTTTATATTAGTTATCCATGAATTACGCTCAAAACTTCGCGTTCAAAATTTTCTATGAAGCATTTCAAATTTTGCACCACTTGAAATAAAATATTTTAAAAATTCATAGCTCAAACAAACGAATCTCCGATATATTTCGTACATTAACGTATAACACAAATTGGTGGGTTACTTTAAGTTTTCAATTTACTTTTTGAGAGGTACGAGTGAAATCCATGATAAATGAGTCAAGGCGAGTCAAGGCTTGCTTAATCTTTCCTCAAATTTTAATTTCAAGACGGTTTGAAGCCGTATTGATTGTAATTTGCAAATGAAATGAGATAATTCACAATTTTTTAATTAACTGCGCTGCACTGGTAACTGCAGAAATAAATTATTTAGTGAAGTAGTTTTCGATGAAATTTTAAAAGGATTCTTAGGATTTAAATCTTTTTTTCCTATCATATTTAACTTTTTACAAATTTCTTATATATGAGCATAAAATTTATTTATATTTTTAATTATATCAACTATCTATATTAATTATCTATTATCTATATTAACTGATGAATATTTAATCGAAATCAATGAGAATCTACCAAATCGCATTTATTTCATTTTAAAAAGAACTCATCTAGAAACAATTTAAGAAAATTGATTTATCGACAAACCTGAAACATAAGAAATTTTTCGGGATGCAGGAAAAGGATTATTGCCTGAAGAATCTTCAATTGATGAGTTTCGCCACGACCTTCATATAACTTTCGATGGAAGTTTTCAATGGTTGGAATATATCGTTCTTCGAATCGATCATTTAAAAAACGATTTACAATTGATGTTTTACCAGTATGTGGTGAGCCAACGACAACCAGTCGATAAGATTTTTTTATTGCCGGTGAATTTGGACAACTTCGATTATTCACGCAAAAACTTTTGTTAAAAACTTTTGTTAACTTTTGTTAAACTGAGCGAATCTTGGATCAACTTTTATTCCTTTTTCAATTTTTGACATTCCGAAATTTTCAAAAACAAGTTAAACCAACTGATGAAATACGAAATAGACAATGGTGGACATTATTTAAGGGATAATTACTAAGATTAACTACAGTTGCAGCAGTTAGTCGAAGTGGTTCAAGTTTATTATTCGTAAATATTAATTTTAAATATAAATATTTCAAAGAATTAATATAAATAAGAATTATGTTAATGATAGTATAGCGCAGATCACAAATAATGCAGATTTCCGACAATATTGGCAATATTGACTTATCATAGCAAAAACAACGGATTCTGTTCGTACATCTCAAAACTGAAGGGCTTTCAGAGGCGCGGCACAAACGCCCATAGACCATGAATGGATACCAACGCCGACTTTCATTCATTTTGAAAGCTGCTTGATCTCCACGACTTGTTCAAATCATCTGCGAGTTAGAGTAGAGAAGTGTGATAAAAAGCAGCATTGCTATGTGATACGAATAATATTATTAAATTTATAGGCAAACAACAATTCGTTAAGTTTGAAATTGAGAAAATAAAGTTAAAACAATGAAAGTCACGAATTGCTTTATATTCGATTTCCCTTTTCCTTATTTTTGTTTTTCTTAATTAGAAAAAACTATCTTAATGACCTTAAAATTCGTAATTTTCATGTGATTCTCCAAAGACAAGGTAACTTCCACGGGAACCTCAAATGGATTGAAAGAGTCCTTAGATTTCTCTCGAAGAAATCCTTAGTCTTCGCCAGATTCTTAGAATGATGCATTTCCACCGGAAAAAATGTCACAACGTCTTATATATTTTTCTTATAAATATGTCGGCGTTTCCCGTGAGAATCTCAAAAATATTCGTAGCTTTTAGCAGACGCAGTCTTTAAGCTATTGCATGATTTTTAATAAATTCTTCGTTTCATCACAACAGTAAACCACTGTTCAATGAATTTAATGGTTCTTTAAATATTTCCCCCATTCAAAATCCCAATTTAGAATGCACTGCATTGATATTTTATTCATAGAGAAATCCATAAAGCAATCTATAAACAATCCATTTAAATTCAATCTATTTACAATCTATTTAATATCCAATTTGTTCGGAAAAATAAGAAAAATAAATTTAATCAAAACATTTAATGAACCAATATTAAGGAAGAAAAATATTGAGAAAAAAGTATTAAAGTATAAGTCATTAAGGAATTAAAAAAAAGTGATTTTCGAGAATAAAAGCGATTTGGAACAAAACTTTAATGAAAAATTTCATGTTTAAGTTTAAAATGAATTGAATGGTTTAAAAGAGAAATTTTACTTTCCAAATAATGAAAATCCAAAAAAATAATGAAAAATTTTTTTCGAAGATGTCAAAAATGAATTTTAGAAAGAATAAAAGTTAAAAACCGATGGAATAACGGAATTTTTAAATTATTCATTAGAAAAGGAAAATTTCTTCAAGAAGATTTTTGAAGATTGTGAAAGATCATTCGAGAAAAAAATTTTATCTCTGTTGAGTAAAAGAAACAAAGTTTCTCGCATTTCGTAAAGGGAAATATTTTCAATGAAAGTTTTGCAATATTTTAGCCATCAGTGTATATGTTCCAATTTTATGCGCAGATGACCGTGATAAAAATAAGGTCTATGCGGAACTTCAACTATTAACAACATCTTTGCCGAAAAGTGATATAGTGATAATCTAGGTTACGATGCCGCCATGGTGAATTTGGCAAATATGGCATCGGGTCCGATGCGCCAATGGAGATTGCCTTCTTTCCTTTGTTGAGCAGAATAAATTTTACCAATGCTTTTAGCATCGTAAAAAATATCTATTTACGTAGAAAAACCAGGATGACTAACACTTCCAGATTGATTATATTTTAACCAGTCGCCCTTGGAATACTAATCGTTCCTATCGCAGAAACGGGAAACTTTTGTGGACCTGACAACGTTATGATTCCAAGACCCGCATAAAACTGATGGCTCATAAAAGATTTGGGAATCAATGGTACAAATATCAATGACTTTTCTGGAATGGCAGAATGAATAATGGTCCAGCTAAAGACATATCTTCGAAAATCAACCACTTCCACACTAGGATACACTAGTAGGAAATGCGCTAGTTGGCGGAAACAACTGACCAACTGACCAAAAAGGCTGCCAAAGTACGAATGTTAGGCAATCCTGACTGTCGGATATTTTGAAGATTTACAATTATAACGACAGCAGCATGGCGAGAAAGAATATGGTACTGGAACGATAATGAAGATGGCATGGAACGATAATGGAGATGGCAACTCGATTAGGAGATTATTCCACTTTTTCCACAAAAGAACTATAGGAAGTTATCTAGCTCTAACCATTCAATATACATTTTATAGGTTTGCCAAGCAGATGAAATTTCACATGACTGCATTACTATCTTCGCTCAATACCACTTACAATAAGAGCACCATCACATAGCGTCGCCTTCGCTACTTTCTTCGATGCTTGCCACAGAAATTGACACATATTTCGTTACCTGCTAAACCTTATGATAGATCAAAAATGAGGTGGGTCAATCAAAACCTGTACTGACACAGTTAGAAAAGATTTTAAACGTATAGGTGGACCAGCGATATATGGACTTAGAAGGTGGAAAAAGGAATGGTTTCTATATTGTCTGCGATGACGTCGAATTAAACAGCTTGGAAACTTAACTAGCCTAGACGGTAATGGTGAGCTATTAGAAGAATTTAATGATATAATAATCAACAATAATTCTAAAAATTAAAAATTAATTTCCGATTTAAACAGACAAAAAATTTTTTTGGAAATATTAATTATAATATGAAAATCGTTCTATTTTTACTTTAATCATTATTTATTATTTATTCGTTTGAAAAATTTGCATAAAGGGCATAAAAATGATTTAAAAAATGGATAGTAAAAAATGATTTTTGTCCTAATGAAAAATAATTTTTTAAGATTACAGGAAAAGATTATCACCAGGAAAAGATTAGTGCCATTAGCTCAATTTCGTAAAAAAATTCATTCATGAATAAATGACTGGATTTACCAAATTCAAAAACTACTGACTTCGATAAGTTATCTTATAAAAATATAAAAAGGAAAATGCACCTAATGGTTATATTAATATTAGAATTTCTTATATTTTATATAGCAAATGTTAACTTAGAACAAATGTTCTCCGAACTACGAAGAACGTCAAAATAATCATCAAGCACACAGCAACGATTATATCCTTCATTTACACATAATCGCGACACCTGAAATTTAAAAATGTTTAAAAATTATCTAGACTTAAAAATATATAAATAGGATAGGAAGGCTCAGTAAGTTGTTGTTCAACTGGAAGCGCCGATGCTGAGGTTCGATTCTCCGGAGGAATAAACCTATGCAAAAATCCGGGTGATGCTGGCGACTCAACTGTATTTCTATCGCCAAGGGACTCCACGGCATATTGACCAATGCAACAAGCCAGTGGAGCGAGTTTAACCAGTAATGGTGAGGACTCTTAAAAAAAAAAAAAGATATATGAATAAAAGGAAATTTATTCATATGAATTTTTGAATATCTCAGACAATGCAATGCAAAACAGAAATGACCAGTCAATAAGATATGTTACGACAAGACAAATTATTTATTTACTAGTCAACCAATACCTTTTTAGCTCTAAAACCAGGCTGACTATCAATAAAGACTATGATATGATTTAAAATCTGTGCATTAATTAATGCAGAGCGAATGGCATCAAGATAGTCATCATCACCGATAGGAGGAAAATTAATGCTTCCAGAAATAGAACATCGAGAAAATCTGGAAAAATGGTTTAAAAAGAATATAAAAAAAGAGAATTTTGTTTCTCTACAAAAAAGATTAATGCAAAAAATCCACAAATTAACAGCATATTTTTAAATTAATACTCGTTTGCCATCCGCACATCAACAATTAAAACTGATGAAGTATTTATAAGACGAATCAGATCAACGACTGATAATCTGGGGCATGAATATTCTTTGAGATCATTGACGGACAATTGTTTCATCGAATGAACTTCTCGTACATGCTTGGAAGAATGCTTCCTATAAGTACATGAAGCAGGAACACTATCATATAGCGACTGCGAATAAAGCAAAATATGTTCCATATTTAAATCTAAAAAAAAAACTAATTAATTACTATGGAAAAATAAATATCTAACAAATCTATAATTCAAACTTTTTGATTTAGCAGTGAATTTTAGCAGAGGAGAAAACTAATTTCTTAACTTTCAGTAAATCAAAAGAAGAATGATACAATCATAATGCAAAAAAAATACCAGGAAGATCAGAAAATAGAAGAATTGCATCGTTAAAATTTGATGAAATAAGTCTAGGCCTCAGCTGCTCCATAACAGCTAATCCTATAAAGAGAGGAAAGGACGAATCGGCCAGAAGAACCACATCCCATACCTAAAAATAAAAACTTGAGTTGAAAATCGAAGCTGAAAAGAATGCCATTATCAAAATCCATTTTTTAAATCCAAATTTAAAGAATAAGTTGCTAATTGAATGCAGTAAACAAATGAAAACATGTCCAAAATCTAACATGAAAAAGTTTATGAAGAGGAAGAACATGCGCGAAACAAGTTAAAAACCATGGAATCGCAAATAATTCGGGGGAAAAATCCATCTTTGATAAATGTGTATACAGCTTTGCATCAACAAAAGCCATAATATGATTGAAAACTGCTAAATATTCTGCAAAAATTGCACATAATATTAATGATAAAAACAATAAAAAACCAGATATAATATAATATATAATAAATAATTTTTCACCCATCACCCATTCTAAAAATTTAAATTTAAAAATTTACATACAAACCTTGAATTACAGATGAATTATCTTTCAAAAAAAAATCATTTAGATACAGAGAAATAAAGGATTCAAGGCAGGCATATGCAAAAGCTGAAAACTTAGAAGTAATTATTAAATATGAATTGGAAACGAAAAAAAAAAACAAAACGATTCAATCAGAAAAGATAAGAATATTTCCAAAATAAAAAAATATATGCAATAAATTTAAATTTAAATATAACAGATAGAAAGAAAATCATAAAACTAACATAAAATACTACTGAAAATGTTAAAACTCACGTAGGCGCTCAAAATGGAGGACAAGAAAAGGAGCTGTTAATGAATCCAATCCTTGCCAATAAACATAGTTTTTATGAGACAGAAGCCAAAACTTCAGAAGTCGCTTCAACTTTCTGTGAGCAGCAGGTGATGCCATCAATTCGTCATACTAAAGGATAAAAAGTTGGAAAACCTCAATTATGCGGAAAAAAATATAAATCATGGAAAAAATATAAATGAACAAAGGAGAAAAAAATTAAATGTAATTTATAAATATAATTAATAAAAATATACTTGATGACATCGAGGTATATCAACCATTAGCTGCCGATCAGCAGAATGTTCAGTGAAAGTATCCACAAATTCAAACTGTCTATTCACATCATATGAAATATTAAGCAAAGAAACCCATACAAAAGCGCGATGGAAAGGAGCAATATCACGTTTACATTCTTGCAGCAGCCTTTGTCTTTTATAAGTAGAAGCCGCCAAGAGACGACGGAAAACAAACATCCGCCTTGCCTTGAAAACATAGTTAGTCTTATAATTTATTTGCTTGAATATGATTTAGTTTATTTGGATAATTAAATGGAAACATAATAAATGATTGAATTTAAAATACCAAAAAATTCAACAAAAAAATTATAAATGAAGTCTCGAGAAATATACCTGATATTCGATATCTTTTTCCTTAACAAACAAAGAGAGTTTATTTTCGTCAACAGTGATACCAGTACAATCAAAATTTAATATGAAGCGATCTTTACTTATGGAAGAGAAACGCTGAAACCTAATCATTATAAATTTTTAAAAATTCAAGATTAATCTCTTTATGTTTTAAAAGGTCGAACATTCAAAGAATTCGAGAAGAAAAGAAATTTGAACAAATATATACATTCCGTAAATTAATAGATGGGAGAATAAAAATATCAAAAATAGAATCATATCGTCGAGAAGAATTTCCGAACATGAAACAATCGCCAGTAACAATTCTGGAATTTAATTTGAAATTTAATTTTTAATTTATTTACTTTTTTTACTTTTATATATTTGCAATAATTTACTTTTTTGAGGAAATTAATAAACTAGTAGTTAGTAAATAAAATTTATTGCAAATTTATTGCAGACAATATAGAATTTTAATCTTCCTAATTAAGAATTAAACTTTATAAATTAATAATAATATATACATATATATTATATATAAAAAATGCGAAAAAATTAAACAATTAAAACACGAACGCTGGTAGAGTAGTTATTGGTGAATTGGCTTTGATAATACCATGGTTCAACAATATATTTTCCACAGTACTTCCACTTAATTTCCATAGAAAAAAAGCTTCTTTTAATGGCTGTGTTTGAAGATAACCTTCACCTTCTCGGTTAATTCTGGCTTAAAACAATTTTCCTTCAAAGATATTTTTTATTTTATATAATTAGAACTATCTTCAGCAAAAGAAGTAAAATTGAATTATACTTCATAAAGATAAAATAATAAACTGATTTCTATGAAATTAACCTTTCAGTTGATCTATGTTCATCGATAAACCAAACCCATTCGAATATATCCCATATTTTGAATAAATATTTATATCAAAAGATGATGATGAATCAATCTTTAGTTTTTTAAATTCCTAAAAATTCCTAAATTCCTAAGTGCGAGAAAATTCGTAGAAAAAATATTAGAAAAAAAGTAAAAAATTTATTATCATAATTTCCACAATAAAATTTAAAATCACTCATAGGATTTATCAAATAAGGATAAATGGATATTTTACTGTAAGCAGCCATTTTGCAGAAGGTCGAGCAGAAGATTCAACAGAAAGCATAAGTTCAACCAATGAACATATATTTGGATCAAAATTAATGTGAATAGAAGGGCATTTTTCATGAATTTCTTGCAAAAGAGGGCGAAGCAATGATTTAAAACCTATAAGATCTCCAAATTCGCATTCAAGCAAAAATACTAATATGCATAAAATAAAGAAAGTTTAAAATGTCTTTTTTTGATAAAAGCAATAAAAAATATTCATGCTAAAATTATAAAATCGATAACTAATCCAAAAAAGTTTTAAACAAAATTATTTTCAAATGGTTCATTTACCGCTTTTTACAAAAGACATGATCATATTCAGGAAATCTTCAACATTCCATAAATCTGATAGCAGACAAGTCTAAAATCAAACGAATTTCAAAAAGGAGAATAATATTACACGGGAAACCGAAATTATAATGATGAAAAAAATGAAAAATAAAATAATAAAACAAATGGCAAAAACATAGTATATAATGAAAATACCGAATGCAAACATATAAAAATAACACACACAGCTCATTTCAAGCAAAATTATTCCAAACGCCCATATGTCACCTTGTCGCATAGCAGTTTTACTTCCGTGCATTAACAACAGCAATCGCTCAGGTGATAAATACCATGGAGAGGCCACAAAACTTTCTATATCTTCACCACCACCGCTGATATAGTATATTCCATACTGTGCAAGTCGTGTCATTTTCTTAAAATTTTGCCAGGAAATATGAAATTTGAAATATGAAAAACGAAAAAACTCCATAAAAAATCTATCTCTATTAAAAGATAAACTTCAGAAGTCAGCTGTAGAGAATCGGCCGTGAAATATCCAACCACAATTAACTGAGAATGAAGATAATCCAAAGCCGAAAGAATATCGTTCGAAATTGAAATAATCTTTTCGGTTTCTATACTATAAAATTAAAAAGATTATAAATTAAGTCAATTTAATTTATGAATTTATTGGGCCAAATAAAAGCTTTCTATCTTCTTAAGTGGCCTATCATTTATTTCCATTTAAAATTAATGGGATATATATTCTTTAAACAGTTCATTAAAATACGCTTTGCGTGAAATAATATAGAATAGTTGAAATTAGTAGATAACTATAATTATGCTATCAACCAGTTATATTCAGTAAAATACCAATTAAGCAAAATAGAGCCATTAAATGTTAGCATTAGATAAAAGAAAACGTAGTATTCTTTTGTAAAAATAATTATAGCACTATAGCACAGAGTTAATATATTTCGGAAAGTGGAATATTCTGGACTTCGATCGAACTTTGAAAGAAATTTTATAGAATCACGAAAAATATATATAAAAATACAATATATATATAAATATATATACCCAATATAACCCAATATATATAAAAATGGATAAAATTAAGAAAACAAATTTCATGGAAGTCACAGAAAAACTGATTAAAATGTTGATTAAATACTTCTAAGTGCCTCAATTAAATAGGCATCGAAAGTTTACTTCAACAATCTTCAAAAACTACAAATTTAAAAAAAGAACATACCAATTCTTTGCACGAATTTCAGTATATATTGAAGAGGAATAATGCTCAGATATTAAAATTATAGCATCCTCAACTAAAATATTATTAAAAAATTTATGTTAATCAATAACCAAAATCAAAACAAAATTTGTTAAAAAACAAGAAAAATATTAAACAACGAATTAAAGGAAATAAGAGGAAAATATCGTAAAATAAAATATTAATTCTAATCTTATTTTTCTTCTTTTAATAGTGTATCATCTTTTGTTTGGCTAAATAACTACCGTGAATGAAAAAATTCCTCCTTTCATCAAAAACAATCACGGCAAAGAGATATTACTGGCTGCAAATGATTTAACGAGATCTCACTTTAAATGACAGTTTCTTCTACCACAAAACACTCTCACTTACCCTATCCTTAATCAAAATACGAGATTATCTACCGAGATCTCACTTTTAATAATGCGGTCGGTTTCTTCTGTCAGGAAAGAGGAATCATATCCACATTATTTCATTTAAAGTCGAAAGACTGAAACACTGATAGTGGTAATCAATGAAAGCAAGACCAAACCCTAAGAAATTTTAATCAATTTAAGCTTTAAATTTAGTATATATACATTTAAGAATACTCTGAATTACATTTATATCCACCTATAACAATCTATCTACACAGATCTATCATGGAAGAACTTGGATGCCAAAATATATATATATATATATATAAATACAAAAATACAAGTGCCATAAGTATAAAAATAAGGCCATACTATAATCGCTGACTTAACCTACCTGATTTCATGATGCGTTTCAGTCAAAATCCTAATTTATGTGAGGAAATAATACAAAGATATGAGGGAAGAAAAGAGGGGAGGAAAAGAATACAACAAAATAACGGCTTCCTTTCCTAGTGGTAGTTACGGGGACAAGGGATGAATTATAGAAGATCTGCGACAATCTAATCAGTCTTTTCACTAGCAGCAAATCTATCACGTACTTCTGTGCATTTTTATATATACCTTTACTACACTTCTTTTTGGATTCCTCATTTATTTTTTAATTAATAAATGATTATGAATTACACAAATTTATAAATTCATTATATAATTACTGGAAGAAAAGAAAACTAACGCGTTGTTGAACGAATGATTTCTGTATAGGAAACAAGGTTTGGATGGGAAAGTGAAGCGATAAATGGAAATCGTCCGAGCATTCGAACGGATGAAGATACAGTTGGTAATCCGCCATTGTTTGAAGTAGAATGCCTCACATCTTTACCAATAAGCACTATCGCTCCGAATTCTGCTCGACCCAGTAACCGAACCACATTATCCTCATTGCGATACCAATGTTGCATCATATAAGAATTTCTCCCTTAGCATATTTGCAATCACTGTAAAGCCACAGTAATCCCAAAATCGCTATAAGAAACACATTATTAAAATTCATTAAATTATGCCAATAAACTTGATGGTTTATAAAATTTATACGATAAAAATACCACCTGCAAAATATGAAAAAGGCTTTCCACAGTCAATGATTTTACCTCGACTAATTTTAATCGTCCTATTCAGAAAATTAATTGTCTGTGGTGAATCCATTTTTTCCATCATTTAACCCTTTTAGCGATTCCCAAACTGCAATTTTTTGAAAAGAAATTTTTTCTTCCGTTCATTACAATAAAACAATATTCCAGTGAACATTATTTCTTCAAACGCAGGTTTATATCGTGAATGTTCTTTTTCTTTCTTCTCATAGAGAAAGACGCTTCCAAGTGGCGCGGTCTGATGCCGTCGTTGACAGTAATTGAAGCCATTCCTTTTTCCATCGTCCATATCGTCTATAAAGTCCATATATTGCTGGTCCATCTATACGTTCAAAATCTTTTCTCACCGTATCAGTCCAGGTCTTGATTGGCCTATGTCGCTTTTGACGCCAACCATCACAAATAACGAAATATGCGTCAGCTCCTATGGTGGCGACAGAGAACGTGCCCTAACCAGCGAAGGCGACACTCTTTGACAACATTATTTATGCAATTGGTATTTGAACGAAGATGGATGCGATCATGTGATATTTTATCCGCTCGACGGACCCGTCCACTGTATATACCTTACAAGAGTGGTCAAGGGCAGATAATTTCGTAATATCCTCCACTCTCATTGGCCATATTTCAGAACCATATAGCGAAATCGAACGAATCACGGCTATATAGATGCGGACTTTCGTTTTTATGATGATTTCACGACGATTCCATAAAGGTTTCGTTAACGGTAAGAACGCATTTCTAGCTGCCGTGATTCTTGTTGTAATATCATCTTTTGCCTGGCCGTTTGATATTAGGGTGGACCCAAGGTATTTAAAATCGGGAATTTCCTCAACCAGCGATGAATTTACAAAAAGAAGCATTTTTATTGACTTCTTGTATATCAGACGAAAAGGCTTTCGTTTTATTTACATTGACCGTTGCAGTTGCTGACACGTTATTTATTTAGCATTATTTGCATTTCATCATAACTGTTGTGAAGGTCTGATTGTTAGGACGAATTGGCGCGATTTAGTATATTTGAGGTTAGACTGGAAAACAAGTTTCAAATGGAAGGGATGCGGTTCACCATTGTAGGTCTAATGACTCGCCGTTTTGTGCCCAAGCAGGCTTTTTTTTTTCTTATTTCTTATCTTTATTATAATATAAAATTATAAACAATAAGTTCAAATGAAGAATTAAAAAACCAAGAGATAAGATAAAAAAAAAGGGGAGCCAAATTTCCCACATAACTATAATCAAGGAATATATGAAGCAGACTCAAAGTATATATCTATACATAAATAAAGCCCAAACTCAAAACACACAGCAAAAAAGATACCAAAATATAAAATGCTGTAAATCATATGCATATATATTATTATATATTATTATATATGATTTCCATTAACCAACACATTTTAAAAAACATTTTGTGTGAATAGCATGGCTCGCACAATTAGCAGATTACATCATCAGCGTATTCAATATCTGTGATACAATGCTCTGGACTAATTTGGACATCCCTTGATGTGCCGACAAACGATTTCCATTACCCAGTCTATTGCATAGTTGAATATTGTAAGGGAAAGGACATAGTCTTGACCAGTTTTTATTTCGAAGGAGTCTATCGGTTCCTCATATACACAGATTTGTGCCGACGTATGCTTATAAAATCCTTTATGAGTCGAATGATTTTGTCTGGAACACCGTAGCATTCCATCACCCTCCACAGCGTCGCTCTATCAATTGAATCAACGGCTGCCGCAAAGTCGATGAAACACGTGGGTTGCAAATATCTGAAGCGACACCCTTGTTCCAACACCCTTCTTAATGTGAATATCTAGTCAGCACAACCGCACCCTGGTCTGAAACCAGCTTGATTAGGGCGCATCCTGCTGTCCCGTACTTCAATAAGTCTGTTAAGTAAAAGAGAAGCAAAAATTTTCGCTGAAACGTGTAATAGGCTGATTTATCCTATAACCTTTGAGAATTGGGAGCAGAATTGCTTTGCTCCAATCATCTGGTAATATTTCTTTTTCCTATACCATTTGTTGAAGGTGCGTTATAAAGGACGATGAACAACATTTAAAGAATTTAACACGAAAACCATCTTCTTTCGGAGTCTTATTGGCCTAAAGCATATGGATAACAGATATTATTTCTTCTTCTGTCGAGGACTCATGTGCAAAAAAGAGGCATTTTTATTAGTTTCTGTATATATCAGACGAAAAGGCTTTCGTTTTATTTACATTGACCGTGAGTCCGATTCTCGATGCAGTTGCTGACACCTTATTTAGCATTATTTGCATTTCGTCATAACTGTCAGCAAAAAGGTCCATATCATCAGGTTATTCAAGATCTATGATACGATGCTCTATTCTGATTTGGACAGCTCTTGAATGCCAACAAGCGGTATTCCATCATCCAGTTGAATATTGTAGAGGGAAGGACGCAGCCTTGACGGAAACCAGTTCTTATTTCGAAGGAGTTAATTGCCCATATACACAGGCCTGTCCCAATGTAAGTTTGATTAGAGTGCATTCTGTTCAGATCTATTTATCTTTAAGTTGTCATTTATAAATCACTATCATGTTCTGATTTCTTCACCAAATAGCTTCGGTGAAAGCCCTTTTTTCCAGAGATTCACATATTTTAAAATTTGAAGTATTACCTCACCATCCTAACTTTTAATTGATTTTAATTTTAATTTTAACAGAATTTTTATATTTATGTTTAAAATTTATAGTTAAATTTACGATTTACGTTCTTAAATTTGTGTTCTTTCGAGTTTCTTTCATTGGCTAAAAAATTATAGCGAAAAAAGTAAATAATTTAGTGTTAATTCGTTCTTTCTCAATATATTTAATTTTAAATCAAATAAATTTTTATAAAATTTTTTCGACTAAAAAATTTATTTGATTTAGCATTAATTAGTATTAATAACAATTATTTTTCGTTTTATACACAAAGAAAGTCTTTTATTTTTTAAAAATTCAAAAAGCAATCCTTGTTCGAATGAAAATTTTTTTCTTTAGTAATTTAAATAAATTTTGCTTTATAATTTCTGAAAAGTTTTGTTAGAAAATTCATAAGAAAATCTATTAAAAATTTTTTAACTATTTGAGAATTTTCAGTGGTAAAATTAGCGATAATAAATATCGATAATATCGATATCATTAGCACAAAAAGATTTTTTTATTTGCATCATCTGATAAATTCATTTCTTAAAGATTTATGAACTAGAAATGATTTTACGTTGTAATAATATGATGATTAATACATAAACGAACGAGTGCAAAAACAAAAATAATTGCAAAGAGACATCAACTTGTTACTTCTTCTAATAGCTCTTATCGCTTTTAGTATATTTAGTACTTGCTCTACGTGTTATTAAGATAAGAAATCTTTGCCAGAGAGCAACGCGAGAATAAAAGTATAGTACCAATGAGTACTAATGTCAAACAAATCCCATTTTTAAAAGCAGGCCGACTTGTTTCATCCGATCCGAAAATATTACTTTGGATTACTTTGGCCACAGCTGAAGCAGCTTATCACCCTACTACCATATTGTTATCGAAGGTCATTTAATCATCAACAATAATCATTGAAGGAAAAAAGTTCGTTAAAATCATTGAATATTAGAAAAAGAAATATTATAGTCGAAAATGATCAATTATTTGTGAATTTCCCTCATTCAATCCTATTTTTTCTTTCACACATTTTTTCCAGGTAAATGCAATCAGAAAAAAGTGGTGAATAATTAATTGATTGAAAACCTTAAAGAGAAATAATAAAAAAATAATAGATGAAAATTTTTGCCAAATTTGCAAATACATCGAATCGCATTTCTTAAAAAATATCTCGAGTTAAGCAAAAAATAAAGTAAAAATTCTGTGGTCAAAAGATTTTTTTAAAAATCGAATTACTATGCATAGTTTTTTTAAGACAAATTTGTAACGTAAATGCTCATTTAAAAACTCGTCTCGCAATTAATTTTTTTGTCTTTTCGCTTTTTTCAATCGATTGTTTTGCAATGAAAGAGTAGGACTAGGACTACCATTGCAAAATCCTGGCAATGCTGGCGAGCCACTTGTGCTTCTGCCAAATGACTACATCTCGAAAAATGTCTAACACTTGCACAGAAATCATTTACTTATTTCTCCGTCGGTTATCATTTCAGAATTCAGATTTCGTCATCATTTGGCTGGCTCTACTGATTATTCCAAATTCGGCTTCGCCAGCAAAATATTTGGAGGTGCAGTCGCAAATGGATCTCCAGGAGTAGCTCACTATGATTTTCGTTTCAATGACAAATTTTATTTTCTACAGTGTCATGATCGAATTTACATCGTCGCCTCACCTTAGCAAGTTATAAACCACTCGTCATCACACCTGGTTCATTTCTTTGATGCAACCAATTCTCGCGCCTCTTGTTGCATTTATTATAAATAATGTTTCAAAAAAGCAATAATGAAATAAAACATTTAAAACAATAATGAAAAAAACCATTTTAAAATTCTTAAATCCTTCATCCTTGATCCCTTTCTTTATCTTTCTTTTCCTTTTTTGCTGTACAATACCGTTGAATCAAAAATTAATAAAGAAGTGTATGAGAGAGATTTCTCTTGTTTATGCAGGAAATTTTATGTGATACCAATCCATGAAAAAATTTGTTTTATTATCGTAGAATTTTTAGTTCTGTATTCACTTAATTATTTCCGTTTCTTAAGCAATTGTAAATGCTGATCAAATCTCCGTTACACCTTAAAATGTACATAAAAATGTTGTCGAATCGATGAAAAATCTATTGGACTAAAGTTTTTATCCTA